ACTTACCGTAACCACAGGCATGTGGTGGCAGGAGGAGAAAGGATTGAGAACAGAACCTCAACTTATTGCAGCTCAGAGGCCCTCCCCCAGTCTGCCAGTTCCCCACCTACTTGTCAAACACCATCCCCTAGTGCTTCCCTTGTGCGGCCGACCGCCCCAACCACGGGGATCAGATGGTCTCTTTGCCGTGCTTGCGTCTGCCCTGACGTCTCGTTCCTTCCCGCTTTCCTGGCCCACGGTGCTCAGAGCTGAGTGCCGTCTGCGCTGTCACAAGTATTTCTGTACAAACAGTAACATTTGATTTCCCTTTTCACTGTGTGGACATTTGCACTGGTGGCTCAGAAGCTATTGTGGGTAAAAACTGGTGCCTTGACAGATATCTAAGCAGTGACACCAACTATGTTACTAGTCGTATTCTACCATGTACTTGAGTTTTTTGAGAAAAAAAGCAGTTCACAGCAAGGATGCTCTTGAAGCAGTAGAAATCATATTTTTATTTAAATTTTATTAAGTCTTGATCCATGTGTACACATCGTTTGCTATACCACATGATGAAATGGGAAGTGTGCAGAAGGCTCTTTGGCTCCAGACTGAAGGGCCACGGTTGGCTTAAGAAAAAGCACTTGAGTGGGTTTCAAGTGGAACTAGCTGGTTTTTGCATGGGACACTACTTTTACTTGAAAGAACAACTGCAAGACTTGGGTGTTAAAGAGATTTTCAAAAGTCTTGACCAGTGCTTTGTTTTTCTATGTGTTTCAGCTGGTCACCAAACAATGCCATTCTTCACTAATTTTCTTGTTTTGAAAAGTACAGGTTTTTTGTTTCGTTTTCATAAAATATGTTAACATGTAATAGGTTTATTATTTCCAAATGAATGAATAATTTAAATTTTCTCAGATTTCTAATACAAGTAAATATCAGTAGATCTAACCCACATACACAAAAGCTCTTTGTGGGGTCCTCAAAAAATTGTAAGCATGTAAAGGGGTCTTGAGACCAAATACTTGAGGCCCCAGCTCATGGTGCCATTCTCCTCCCATTGGTATGGCCTTCTGTGCCACAGCTGGTTTGAGCTTCATGTCTGATAGAATTACTTATCTTTGTATATCCTAGTTAAATTCCTGTCCTCGTGTGTGCATCTTTCAGTGTTCTACATATCAGGCAAGTATCTTGCATGCTCTTCCCTTGAAATCTGTATGTATGTTCTGATTTTTAGAGATCCCGCAGATGTGTCCTCAGAGAGCGACAGTGCCATGACCTCCAGCACCGTGAGCAAGCTTGCCGAAGCCCGGAGGACGACTTACCTCTCGGGAAGATGGGTCTGTGACGATCACAATGGGGACACCAGCATTAGCATTACAGGGCCTTGGATTAGCCTTCCCAACAATGGGGACTACTCTGCATACTACAATTGGGTGGAAGAGAAGAAAACCACGCAGGGGCCTGGTGAGAATCAAAATTAGTCCTTGAAAACTTAGAAGTAGGTATGTTTTTTAATTGAGGTAAAATTTACGTAATGAGATGAACAGTTGTAAAGTGAACAATCCCGCGGCATGAATACATTCACAGTGTTGTGTGGTTACCCTCTCTGTTGAGTTCCAGAGCACTGGCATCACCCCAGGCGGGAGCTCCAAGGCACGAAGCTGTCATGCTCCTGTCGCCTCTCCTCCCAGCTCTGGGCAGCCCCTACAGATGATCTCAATTTACGATGGGTCAGCTTAACAATTTTTTGACTTTATGTTGGTGCAAAAGCGGTACACGTTCAGTAGCAATCATGCTTTGAACTTTGAATTTGGATCGTTTCCTCGGCTAGCGCTGTGCCGTGCATATTCTCTCATGGTCCAGGCCCCAGCAGCCGCAACTCCCAGGCAGCTCCGTGGTCATGAGGGTCCACAGCCGGTAGATAACACTGATAACTATTCTGTGTTTCACTTTCAGTACAGGATGCCATGCATTGCACGAGATATTCAACACTTTATTATAAATAGGCTTTGTGTTAGATGATTATGCCCAACTGTAGGCTTGTGTCATTGTTCCAGGCCCGTGTAAGGCAGGCCAGGCGAAGCTATGGCGTTCAGTTGTTTAGAGCATTAAATGTTATTTTCGACTTAGGATATTTCCAGTTTATGAGTTTATCGGGACATAACCCCATTGTAACTCAAGGAAGATCTGTAATTTTGATTTCTGTAACTACAGATGTGTCTCTTTTGGATATTTCATAGAAATGGGTTACAATGGGTGGCCTTTTGTGTCTGGCTTTTTTTTCATAGCATGTTTTCAGGATTCATCCATATTGTGGCATGAATTAGCATTTCATTCTTTTTATGACCAAGTAATATTCCATTGTATGTAATGTGGATATACCACGTTTTATATCCAGTCCATCAGTGAATGGACTGAAAACATTTTTTAGATATTTCACTTTTTGGGGGCCAGTATTGCTTTATTTATATGAAAAGACCTCACTAGTTAGTATATTTAGCCAGTTGAATCCTGTTTTTATAGTTTCTTTGTAAAGAGCTTGTTTTAGCAGCCCGAAATGGAGATAGAAATAGCCCGGTAGAAAAACCCTTTAAAACCTCTAGAGCTTTCTTCGGTGGAGAAAAGATTGTTCACTTAGTCATTTAGCAAATACACAGTGAGTATGTGCTTTCTGTCATGTACGATGCTAGGTACTGGCGAAACAAAGGTGTTGTCACCAGACAGGTGTAGCCTAGGTGAGGCCTCTCTGAGGGGTGACATTTAAGTTGGGCATTTACTGTTCTAATAAATAATACATTCGCAGGTCCAAGCAGTTCAGATTTTAATTTCATTTATGTTGGGTCTGCCTGGGGTCATTTGTTGAGGTTACAGTCCACTCTGCAAAAACCATAAATGATGAAACAATGTGTGGCCATGAACCTTTTATTAGTATGTTGATAAGGAGCGAAACATAATCATCAACAGTGTAATGACAGAATTATAAATCATAAAATCTAGGTTCATTGGTATTTTTTGTTGAACTTAAAGTTGTTTGTATATGGTTGTTTTTATACTTCAGACATGGAGCACAGTAACCCTGCTTACACGATCAGTGCTGCATTGTGCTATGCGACTCAGCTGGTCAACATTCTGTCTCATATACTTGACATAAATCTCCCCAAAAGGCTGTGCAACAGGCAAGTGATCGAAGGTGGCAGTGTCATCTTTACCGTGGATGTCGTTTTCCTATGTATGCTTACTCTCATTCAACCCAAACCAGGAATTTAAGTATTATTAAGCCAGAAAAACGACTGTGAAATACTGAGATTAATTTCAAAAGCCTAATGTGCAAATTTGTTTCATTATCTTATAATTGCACATGAAGTCTTTGAGAAGACCACAGAGAATTCTCCCATTTGGAAAAATAATTGAACGACAAACTATGACCTTCAGAGGGTATGCTCACGTGTAAGAACTGGGTAAATTATAACTTGAATATTTTTTTTAACTTTTTAAAATAAAAACAGGTGGTTTAAAAATTCAAACAAAAATGTAGGAGTGCCTGGCTGGCTCAGTTGGTGGAGCATGTGACTCTTGATCTCCGGGTTGTGAGTTTGAGCCCCACATTGGGTGTAGAGCTTACTTAAAAATAAATCTTTTTTTCTTCTTCTAAGATTTATTTGAGAGAGAGAGCATGTGGGGGTGAGGGGGAAGGCAGGCAGAGGGAGAGGGAGAGTCTTTTCAGCAGACTCTGTGCTGAGCGGGGAGCCTGACACAGAGCTTGATCTCATGACCCTGAGATCATGACCCAAGCCGAAACCAAGAGTCAGATCCGTAATTGACTGGGCCACCCAGGTGCCCCAACATAAAATCTTTAAAAAAAAATGTAAAGGTTTACAGTGTACTCAGTTCTAAGTTATACTCAGTTGTACTAAGACCTTCCTACCCCTGTCTAGTCATCCTTACATCTCAAGCCAAATAAATACGTATTATCATCTGTCTCCCCTTTTAAACACAAAAGATATACTAGGGTGTTTTACACCTTTTTGAGTATTTAACAAATATTGGAGCCCTTTTCTAGGCACTGAGAGGATACAGTGGTGATGAAAACATAATCCTTGCCCTCTTGGCACTTCATTCTAACAGAGGGACAGATAATAAATGAGCAGTGTGTCCGATGGTGATGAATCCTGTGGAGGACATTAAAGCAGAGTGAAAGCAAGGGAATGGGAACGTGGAGGCAGAGAAGGGGCTTGCAGTATGAGAGTGGGCGGGTGTATGATCACGTGTGACCCTGAGGGAAGAGGGGAGCAAGCCCTGGGGAGAGCGAGGGCAGCAAAGAAGGTGGGGGTACAAATTGGGTGGGCCTCGTCAGGCCATTGCGAGCCTCCAGCTCATTGTCCACAGAGTGGACAGTTAACAGAGGCTTCTTTGTATAAGTGTGCCAGGGTCTCACCAGCCCCCTATTTATACTTCACAGAATAATCTTGTACATTCGTCCTTTCATCGGTGTGCAAGTATTTGTGTTGAATAAATTTTCAGAAGTGGAACTGCTTGGTTAGAGGGTATCTGCATTTGTAATTTCTGTAGCTGCAGTGAAGTTGCTCGTCATGAGGGCAGTAGTTCATTCTCAGAAAGTCTCTGTTGAGTCTAACTTATAAAGAGGCAAATGACATGGGGTTTGTTTTATACTGAGCTGTGGTGTAAAATACACTCTTCCAAATAGACATTTTACCATAGAATTTCCTCAAAAAGATACAATTTTACAAATTGTATGTTTGTTTTCCAGTGAATTTTGTGGGGAAAATCTCAGTAGACAGAAATTTACTCGAGCAGTGAAGAAACTGAATGCAAATATTCTCTACCTGTGCTTTTCTCAGGTATGGAAAATACACTGTGAGCTAATTTTTAATGTGTTACCTGGTTGAAAATATTAATCAGTGTTTTGCTTTTTCTAGCATGTAAACTTAGATCAGTTACAACCACTGCATACTCTCAGGAACCTAATGTACCTGGTCAGTCCGAACTCTGAACACCTGGGCAGGTAAGAACGGGGCTTGCTTTTTTCTAAGTGGTGGTGCTATGAGTACTTCTAATAGAGCTGTCGTGTGCGTCGGCAGAGCACAGGGGCCTGGTCCTCACCCCCAGAGTCTCCACAAAGGACAAAAATAATGCACTCCTGTACAGAAGGAAAGAGTGGCTAATCATATTTGAACCTTTATGGTCCTTACATAATCATTTCTCAGGAAATTAATAGCAAACATTTTTAACACCTAAAATGAAATAGAAGAACCCGCCATGTTCCCGAAGGGGCCGCCTCGTGCCGTCCTTGAAGCCCGGAAGCCGTGTTTAGACTCCACGTCTTTTCCTTCTCAGCACTGTGTAGTGTCTGCCCCTTTTCCTGTGCCTTTCCTTTCATGCCTCCTCCCACTGTGACAGTTCTTCCCGGTCTCTTTGTCTCTCTGGCCACCATCTATTGGAGATAAAGGGTATTTCAAGTTTATGGGGTGAACTAGTTTAAAATCCATTAGCTTAAAAACAGGAGTCTAACAAAAAAGACAAACCAGGGCTAGTCTATGGGATCTTCCTGGTCTCTCAGCCCAAAAAATGTGACACAGAGGAAGCTTTTCTTTAGTACCATTCGGGTCACCCCTCTCTGAGTATCTGTCCTTTTTCCACACTCTTAGCAGTCTGTTCATTCACTTCTGAGATATGACTTGGTTTAGTGTATCTGCACTTGTGAAAGAGGACCAAGAAAATAAAAGGTGGGAACGTTCTTTTGGGGAGTCCCCTTCCCATCGTTCATTTGCTTTTACGACTGGAACCAAGGCTCAGGGGAGGTCCCTTCCACCGGCCAGGGTGCTTGGCTTTCTCCACATTGCAGGGAGCTTGCCATGGTAATCTGCTCTTAGCCACTGGCTTGTGTTTCTCCCCGCCACCTAAAATAGTAACTTTCCTGGGACATAGAATGCTTTGGAAAAAGCTCTGCACTCTCTCCAGGGAACTACACACACACCTAGAATTTTGTGCCATCTTATAGGGAGTTTATGCTCCTCTCCTCAAGTTCCATTCATTAGTTCATAAACCACATGAACCTGTTAGAAATCCATCCCGGTTTTAGTGGTTGATTTCTGTGGGTTGTTTGCCATCCTCTTTATACATTATTTATATAGGGCTCAACATTAGGAAATTAATAATAAGAACTAATATTTATTGAGCCAATATTTATTGACCCTCAGCCAACTACGTGACATGCCTTAAATCATAGGTGGGCTTACTCTTATTTTACGGAGGGGGCTGGTAACAGAAGCTTAGCGTGGTCAAGTAATTCGTGCCCCTGATCACAGAGGCAGTCTGCGTAGTAGGTCCAGGGTCCCAGCACTTCCACGAAGTGGTAGATACTCATGCTTTTGACCAGTACACACCACTTCATTACCTGAACAGATTAAAAAGGAAGAAAAAACCTATAAGATCAACCTGATAGATGCCAGAAAAGCAGTGAATAAAATTCCGTTCCTATGAATAAGTAAAGAAAACTAGTTGCAAATTAAAAATAGTTTATTAATAAAGGATATCTACCATAAGCCTACAGAAAAGACTATATTTAATGACCTGTTCCTTCCATGGATGTTTAATAAAAGCATTCCTCTACAGTGAGGAAAACAAGAGGATGCCTGTGTCACTGCTACGTTCACATGGCTCCAGAGGCTTGGGCGAGGCAGAACAGTTTTACAGAGAAGTGTAAGGTATATTTATGTTGGAAAGAAAGAAGCTAGATTGGCGTTGTTGTGGAGGGTATGATGGGTGAACTGGCCATCCAAGAGAGCTTGTTTGCTTACGTGCTGACAGCTAGTCAGAAGATGGAATGAGAAAAGCGTTCCCTTTACTGTAGCCACACAAACTATAAATTCTCTAGGACTAATCTTTACAAAATATATGCAGACCATACAAAGAAAATATAAAACTTGAAAAAAATGATTCAACACCTATTTCTTGAATGTCTGCCAGGCACTGCACGAGGGGTGGGCCTGAATGAAAGAAGGCCTGAGGCAGTGAACACCCTCAGGATTTTCTAGGAGAGGAAGGCTGAGTATTACAAAAATGCTACTTCTCCCCAAAAGGAAACCTGATCAGAATTTCAACAGATATTTCATGGAACTTTGACAAGCTAATTCGGAAGTTGAACTAGAAGCACAGGCTGCAAGGAAATTTTGGAAAAGAATAGTAAAGGATGGGCTTGGCCCTCTTTAAAACATAGTATAAAGGTAATTAAAACAAGGTGGAGCATGCAAGTAGGTGGAGCAATTAGACGAAGAGAAGAGAGTCCAGAGACCTGCCCTGTCCCTGTGTCCCGAGCGTCACACGACAAGGGCCAGCATGTTGAATTGGATAATAATAGATTGATAGCGGCGGGCTAGTGGGGTATTTACACAAGAACAAAGCTCAACTCATACTACATTCTGTATATAAAAATAAATTCCAGATGATAGAAAAGACCTTATTTTATTGAAGAGAAAAACCCTATAAAATAGGAGAAAGACAGTGTTTTATAATCACAGGATGGGGAGGGAATTCCCATGCAAGCCACAAAAACCCCAAAACCATGAAGGAAAGGAGTTACATATTTTACTGTGTAAAAACTCTAAATGCCTTTGGTAAAATACCAGATTCCATAAAGTTAAAAGATAAGCAACAGATCTGTTTTGCAGTCTGTATATCAGACAATGGATTAAAATTTCAAATCTGTAAAAGAAAGGGAGACCTAATAGAAAAACAGCCAAAGGATTAATCCAGGCAGTTCACACAAAAGAAATGCAAGTAATCAGTATTCAAATGAAAAAAGTCTTCAGCCTCAATCAAGAATAAAGAAGTGCAATTCAAAACAGCTTTCCAGTTTTCACCCATCAGTTTGGCAAAAATGGAAAGGATTGACGATATCCAGTATTGGTGGTGGTTCCAAAAACAGGCTGTCTTCTGCTAGGGGTGGACTTCTTTGGAGGGTCTGAAGTTTTCTCTGGGCTTGCCCTGGAGTCAGCTCTCCAGTTAGGGCAGGGGTCTGTGTGACAGAGGTACGCATACTCAGCCAGGCTCACTGCCCCCGAGCTGGTGGTCTGTGGGCCAGAGGCCAGGAGCTGGAGCTTCAGAAGTCCCCTTCCACACCTGCCTCAGTCAGAGTCAAGGCTGTTACCGGAACCTGGGTGGGACGTCCTGTGTCCATGGAGACCAGCTGAAGGAAGGATCCCATTCAGAATCCAACATAAACCTTTTTTTTTTTTTGAAATAAATTCAAACTTGCAAAAATATTCAAAATTGCAAAAAATAGAAGTAGTACAAAGACATATACCCTTTACCCAGACTCACCTTTGTTACCGTTTTACCCTATTTGCCTTATCATTTGTGTAATCTATCTCCATAAAGACACACGCATACACATTTTTTTTCTTGAATCCTGTGAGGGTAAGTGATATACATATATCACGGTTCTTGACCCCTAAATACTTATATATGTATTTCCTAAAAATAGGGGTATTTTCCTCTTTAACTACAGTACAGTTACCAACATTAGCAAATTTCACATTGATAGAATAGTTCAATCCGCTGCCCATCTGCACATTTTGTCTGTGGACCAGATTAATGTCCTCTACAGCATTTCCCCCTCCAATATATGGTCCAACCTAGAGTCTGGTGCTGGATTTAATTGCTATATTTCTTTAACCTCTTTTAAATCTGGAACCTTTCCATAACTTACTTTGTCTTTAACAACATTAACGTTTTTCCCTTTGTATTAATAGAACTTTCATTCTGAACTTGGTGCTTCCTTGGAGTGAGATTCCAGGAATTCTGTGCATTCAAGGCTGGAACACCGCCTGGGCCAGGAGTGTTTCCTGGACACTCTGGGGGCCACAGTGGCCATCTGTCCCTCATTGGTGATGTTAATTTGATCACCCAGTCACGATGCTTTCCACCTTTTCCACTGTATAATTCCGATTTTTCCTTCCTTGCCACTAAGAAGCAGTCTGTGGGGAGCCACTTTGAGACCATGCAGTTATCCTGCTCAACAGAATTTCCCCCTGGATTTAATATCTGTTGATTTTTCTTATCGGATTCAGTCTTTATCATGATGGTGCCTACGTTAACAACATTATCATCCAGAGTGCGTAGTTTACATTGGAGTTCATTTTTGATGTTCTGTATTCTGTCCGGTAATATTTTTGAAATAAGGTATTTTGCAAAAGAGAGTTTTAAAAAACCAAAAAGGTCTTTTTGTTGCCTTAATCGAGAAGAATAATTCCTTGCAGCATCTTGAGAAAATTAGTAATTTTTATTCCCTGATGACATTAAGCGTAAAAGATTTAATTCTTTTGCTAATTTTGTGTGATGTGTGTGGCTCAGGGTATGCTGGGCAACAAAAATTGCTCCAGCTGGCCACTTTGGGAATCATCCACTGGTTTTTCAGTTGCAATACTTCATGGAGTACCTGTTCCATGTCACTAGACTCTGCCCTGTGGGATTCCAGCAGAGAACTGAAGTCCCAAGTGGCTTCCTGGGGAGCTCTCCTGGAGGAAGTATCACTCCTGTCTCCTGGGAAAACCTGTCGAGAGGGGGTCTGGGGACCATGGCAGTCCTGTGCCATGCAGATAAGGTGACATCAGAGAGGAACAGAAAACAGGCTGTGCCTCTGAGCTAGCAGGAAGGCAGGCTTCATCTGGCGTTAGTTGTAGAGGCCCCTGGACAGCAAAGCTCAACAGGACAGAATGAGAGGGCCCTGTGTTTAGGAAAGGCGGGGACCCGCTAAGATGCTACGTTATGAACAGTTTTCAGAGGCAGCCGCCACGAGGAGAGAAAGAAGCAGGTCTCTGGCGCGCTGAGGCGGGTGGGGCTGACTGGAGGCAGACGCTGGCCATGAGGCGGTGGTGGTGCAGTGAGGACCTGAGCTGGGGCGGGGGGGGATGTGTTGAGGCTCGAAAGGGGACTTACTTGGTGATCTCAGGCAGGAGCATGAGGGCGGAGGCCCAGCTGGCTTGTTTGGAGAAGGGCCGCCTGGCTCAGATAAGGAGAGATGAGCCGGAAAGGTTGGCGCTCAGGTGGAGAGCCCTGGCGGGCAGTGAAGCTGGGAGGAAGGAGAAGCATCAAAAAAAATAAATCTTAGGAGTAGACCTGTTTACCAAGGGGAAAAAGGAAAAGAGAAAAGAAATGGATTGTAAGGAGAGCCTTTTAAGGAAACAGGAAAGGGATACTCAGCTAAGATGCTGGTTTCAGTGGTTGTTGGTTAGTTTGGAAAAGCTGCAGGGGGAGGTGGGGGGTTCTTGGGGAGAGTCTCCCAGTTCTTGCTGCCTTCACCCCTTGGGAAAAGTAAGGACTTCTGGGCTACATGGAGGCCTTGTAAACTTGGGAGCCCCTGGTCAGAGGGGCTCTTTGATAATGCAAATTGCTCACAGGAGACCAAAGGGAAACCCTCTGGTGCATCTTCCAATTTAATGAATATTTGTAAAGCCCTAAAAACAGTGCCTGGGACAGAAGTGTTAGCTGTTACTGTTGCTGGTGCAGCCAGGAAGCAAGGTTGTCTTGGAGGAACAAAGCCTGCTTGACCCTGGAGAAAGTGAGTCGGAAGGTGCAGGTGTGGTCAGGTACATTATGGGAGGCCATCGCTAGGCTTTTGTCATTGTTAAGGCCATAAAGAATTTTGGGCCATAGACTAAAATGGCAGGCTGTACCTATTCTAGATCTCTGTCATTTGATTTTTGCTAACCCCCATCATTTTCCCTAGTCATTATCGGAGGCATGTGTCCTTATCTTGGGGGCAGCGCTGGAGAGGGGCTGCTGGGGGGCCTTGGCTACCGGGAAATCCTAGGAGAAGAGCAGGGGGTGGTGGGGTGACTGCCCACCCGAAGCCAGTGCAGCCGGGCTCTCGTGAGGCAGGGGCTGACAGGCACTGGGAAGGGGGCCTGGGTGGGGTTTGCTGACACCGCCCCACAGCGGCGCTCAGGAGCTGTCCCAGAGGGTGAGGCCTGAGGGAGGTTATTAGATTTGGAGACAATGATGTCATCAGGGACCTTTGGGGGATAGTTTTCTCCAAAAATACAGTGCAGAAATATGGATTATTCCAGATGACTATGTTCTAAATAGTTATAACTCATTCTGTTATAAGTGGGCCCCTAGAAAATTGCGATCATATCTTAAAATGGGTGCCCAAGCCTGCTGTTGACACCAATCCAAGGAAGCACTGCTAACATGCATGCAACCATACCAGTTGGCTCTTTTGAGTCATAAGAACGTACAAATTGGGGACTTCCATAAGGCAGAGAACATCTGTACGTTTTTTTCTATAGTTTATTACTTGTTCCACCGACAGCCCAGAGTCTACATCCAGTGACTGTTTTTGTCAGAATTGTCTCATTGGAATGCATAGATACTGCAGTTGTTTAAAGAGGAAATTGTACTTTGGACCAGCAGGGTTAGTCTCGGTGGATGGGTTTTTTTCCATCCAGGATCTTCACAAATCGGGTAGGTGCACTCGAACAGAGTGGTGGTGTGGTTTTATTCCTTCCTTGGATGGCAGTTATTTAGGTGAAGCAGGCCGCCATTACAGACCATCAGGGGGCCAGTGTAGGCTTGGGAAACGGGTGGACCTCTAGGTCCCGTCAGGCCTGTGTCACCGTCGTCACAGTGCTGGTTGTGTGCGCACAGGTCGGGACCCTTTGAAGTGCGAGCGGACCTGGAGGAGTCCATGGAGATCGTGGAGCCCGGCGTTGCCGGAGAATCTGCTGAGAGCGGCGATGAGCGCATCAGTGATGAGGAGACCGACCTGGGCACGGACTGGGAGAACTTGCCGAGCCCACGGTTTTGTGATATCCCTTCGCAGCCCGTGGAAGGCTCCCAGAGCCAGAGTGGCCAGCTGTCCCCGCCCGGTGCGAGCAGCAGTGCCGGGGGGATGATCTCGTCCGCCGCGGCCTCGGTGACCTCCTGGTTTAAGGCGTACACTGGACACCGCTGATGCACGCGGACCGAAACGCGCCAGGTTTGTGTCAAAGTTGTTCTTCCACTGTGCTCCAGTAAACTTCGTGTGTTCAGTTAGGGTAGTGCCTGGAACAAAAAGAGGTTAAACCGTTGGGTTTTTTTTTTAAAGCAGGGAGACAAGCATTTCTGTGTATCAGATGGCCGATGGGGGTGACCCACATGCTTAAAATAGAACAGTGGGGTCAGAGGTCCTTCTGCCCAGACCTGTGTTGGCGGAAGAAAGGCGAGTGTGTTGGCGGAAGAAAGGCGAGTGTGTGTGTTCTGTTCTGTTGAAGCAGAAAATTCCTTTGGGCTCCCTTTGGCCATGGGCCACAGGACCCGCAGAGGCGGGCTGACACATCGGTCCTTGTGATGCTGAGACTTTTCCTGAACACTTTACATTTTAGAAGTTGAATCACAAGGAAGTGATTCTTGATGAGTAGGACTTGAAAGATAAAAACTGTTTCATATGAGTTTGTGCTTATGCCATCATTTTTTGTATAGAGAACCAGCAGGCAATTTGAAATACTTGATTTCTTTAGAATCTGGTCGTCTTTGGTTTTTAGGTCAAGGATGTTGGTTTTGTTTGGAAGGGAGGGGCTTTTTGTGTGTGTGGGGGAAGGGGTAGTTTAAAAATTATTTCACTCATGCTGCTGCTGTCGTAGCTTGTCAGACATTCCTATTTTTATTTCTCCCACACGCCAAAGAAATAAAGTCTCTCTTATTTTTTGACCCGCATCCATGAACAGAGGAAATCCCAGCTACAAGGATTGCCTGGAGATTTAAAAACTATTTTCTTATATTCTGAAAGGAATTAGTTCATTCTCACCTAGATTATTGAATTTCTATACACTATGTGCATTTTGAAATTGAATTTACTTTTTGAGTGAAAAGTCATTAAGGTAGTTCCCTTGTGTAAGTTAAATGCCTGCCTGGGCACAGGTTAAAAGCCACTTAACTAAATGGCCTCTGGTCATTCTTCTGGTGTCCCCATTTTTTTCTAAGGGATTCAGTAGGTGGCAGGTTTTCCCAGGGAAAACCATCCTGCTTGTTTTCTTAGAGGTCTTTGTTGCTCTAGGGACACTCCCTTCACTCAGAAACGCAGAGCAAATCAGAGCTGATACTACTCTTCTCTGACAGAATTTTCCCTCACCAAGAGATCATTTTCAGCTAATGTGTCGTCTTGTCATTCTCTTAGTGACAATCTTATAAGAAAACTGTAGAGAGGCATTATGTACAAATATGTAAGTAGTTTTTTATTTTTAATAATTACAGAAAAGTCCTATGTAACAACTACAAAAAGAAATCCTATGAAAAATTCCTAAGAGGCATTATTACCATATCTTGTTAAGTGTGATTAGCATGACAGTACCTCAGATAAATCAGAGACTTACCCTACCCTAGCTTCTTTTCTTGTAATTATTATAGTTGATACTTTGCCTCCAAATCCGAGGTGCTATATAGCTTTTGCTATTGGTATATTTAATGTTTGGGAGAGTTGCAGAAGAAGGGTGTTTATTCCCATCCAGGAGTTCCAAGTTCCCTGACTCTATGAATTTTCCACTTAGGGAGGAAACAGGCTTCTCTCCATGTGGGTTCTCAATAGCTGGTGTCAAGTACTCAGCTTCATGATTGCTGAGCTAGCATTATACCATCCAGGTCTGAAGTTCATAGGGAATGGGTACTTGAACAAAATACCAAATGAACTTAATAGAAGGGTTGTCTAGGCACTTCAAACCCTCAAAAAAAAAAAAAAAGTTTCAAGCTAAGATGAAAGACAGATTTGGGGCTTGGGGATAGAGATTGACTTCAGCTAAAAGATCCGGAGTTGTCATGGTTTCTCTCAAGCAGACCACTTAAGAAACCATGAATTTGAAATTAAGCTAAAGAATAGAATCCAGAGATCACAACTCCTATCTAGAGAGTAATTCAACAAAACTTAAAGGATACGGGAAATAGGGATTGATAGGGTATGTTTTGTTGTTTTTTATATCAACTAGAGGCACTTTATTTAGGGTTAAATGATCAAACCCTTTAGTGGTTTTGAACACCAACATACTGGCTGACACTGCTGAGATATTTTGGTTTTCATTATTTTGCACTGGATCCACTCTGTAAATACTCTTAAATATACATTTCAACCACTGTTTTTTCTACTCTCTTTGCTGCTCATTAAAATCTTTCATGTAGGTGCCAGAACCATATGTAAACAGCTTTTTAAAAAGTTGAAGCTGGTATTTTTTTTTTTTTAAACAAAAGCCATAGAACTTGGTCATGTTTTCCATATAAAATGATTTGTTGAAACAAGGTAATACTAATAAAAACCTACAGGCACCAGATAGGCTGCTTAAAATGGTCTGTTAAAGACTTTTTTGTAATGGAATATAAGAAGTTTTGCACATCTGTAAGTTAAGGGGAAAAACAGTATGTCAACACTGGGTGTATGGACAGAATTCACTTAAGGATTCATGTATTGATAATTTGGGAAAGAACATTTGGGGGCATGCTGTTTTTAGAAGAACTACATCTGAGAATCTCCTTGTGGTGTCATGTTGCAGGAATTTCCTATTACTCTGCGACTTCCAAACCAGTTTGAGTCATAACAAATGTTTTCTAAACTTTTATTGTATTATTGCAATAAATCTTTTAACAGTACTTTGCTAATATGTGTGTCTTTTTCAAACTGATTACTTGTTTCTATTGATACATTGAGGGAAGCAAAAATGAGATTTAGCTCTGGAATAATTTATACAGATTATAGGGTAATTTTTTAAGAATTCTTTTGCTAAGGTAAGGAAAAAGGTCTGGTAATCCTAAAAATTATAGCTCATGGTGGTATTAACAGTAACGGTCCCTCTCTGGTAAGCTGGCAAGAACTAGTTGCTTCCCAGTTACATACTTTATCTCTAAAGATGCATTTTTCTTTTGTAGCCATCATATGATGCACATGCCCTACAGTGACTTGGGTGTCTCACAGCAGCTCCGTGGGGAGGTTGCCCATTTGGAACCTGCCCAGACTTTTCAGGACAAGAGAGAAAGTGAAGTATGGGAGGTTAGAGGGGATCTATTAAATTGAGATGAAAACCAAGTAGTTTGGAAAATCACTCCCCCTTCCCTCCACCCCCTTTCAGGTTAGATTACAGAGAGGGGTTACCTGCAGGTAACAGGGATACCAGGAGTGATTACGACGGAACTGTTGCCTGCAGAAAGCCACCCAGCAGCAGGAGGAACGCAGGCAAGGAAACGGAAGGGTTCCCAGATACGGCATGTGCTTCAGGGCTAGTGCCCCTCTACCTCCTTAGGTAACACTTAAAAACCATGCTCCTGTCTAGTGCCTACCCCAGTTACATCATGACTGACGCAGGAATCAGGGTGAGGCAGATGGGAAGCACTGAGGATAACTTTGTCCTTAACGGATGGGTGGTCATTAAAAGTTACATCAACAAAATGGAGTGGGCTTTGGGCAAGTCCTCTAAACTTCAGCTGTGAAATGGTCAATGAGAGAGAGCCACCACCAGCACACTCCAAGGATCTGGTGAGAAAATACCCTGGAAAAAAAGAAATAGCAAATAATCCTAAAATTCGTATGGACCACAAACCCTAAATAGCCAAAGCAGTCTTGAGAAAGAACAACAAAGCTGAAGGTATCATAAACCCCAGATTTCAAGATATACTACAATGTTATAGTACTCAAAACATGATGGTCCTGGCACAAAAACAGATAGATCAACGGAACAGAATAGAGAGCCCAGAAATAGACCCACATGTATATGGTCAATTAATCTACATTATAAAGGAGGCAAGAATATACGATGTGGAAAAGACAGTTTCTAAATGGGAAAACTGGACAGCTACTGAAACTGGACCACTTTCTTATACCATACACACGGAAAAACTCAAAAGGGAGTTAAGACCTAAATGCAAGACTTGAAACCATAAAACTCAACGCATACACAGTATGGGATTTGGGGATGACACCAAAATAAAAGCTTTTGCATAGCAAAGGAAACTGTTAACATAAAGGCAACCTATTGAATTGGAGAAGATATTTGCAAATGAAATATCCAATAAGGGGTTAATATCCAAAATACATATATATTTTACACAACTCACACAAAAAAAATCAATCCAAGTCCTAACCTGAATAGACATTTTTTCTAAAGAAGACAGGGGCTCCTGGCAGGCTCAGTGGGACATGCAACTCTTTATCTCAGTGTTGTGAGTTTCCCACATTGCGTGTAGAGATTATTTAAAATCTTAAAACAGATGACCAACAGACACATGAAAAAATTCTCAACATGACTCATCTCAGGGAAATGCAAATCAAAAGCACAATGGGATATTACTTTACACCTGTCAGAATGGCTAGTATCAAAAAGACAAATAACAAATGTTGGTAAGGATGTGGAGACAAAGGAACCCTTGTGCACTCACTGTTGGTGGGAATGTGAACTGGTGCAACCACTGTGGAAAATAGTATGGAGGTTTCTCAAAAAGTAAAAATAGAATTATCTCATGATCCAGTAATTCCACTACTGGGTATTTACCCAAAGAAAATGAAAACACTGATTTCAAAAAGATATATGTACCCCTATGTTTATGGCAGTGTTTGTTATTTACAAAGCCAACATATGGAAGCAATTCAAATGTCCATCGATAGATGAATAGAGAAGATCTGGTGTATATACACAACGGAATATTACTCTGCCATAAAGAAGAACAAGATCTTGCCTTTTGTGACAACGTGGATGCACCTAGAGGGTATTACGTTAAGTGAAATAATTCACACAGAGAAACACCATGATTTCATCTCAAAAAAATGCACACACTCATCAATAGGGAAACGGTGGTCGACAGAGGGGTAGAGGGGAAGGATGAGACGAGAAGGTGATTAAGAGGTACAAACTTCCAGTTACAAAGTCAGTCACGGGGGCGCCTGGCTGGCTGACTCAGTAGAGCATACAGCTCACTCGGGGTCATGAGTTCAAGCCCCACACTGGGCATAGAGCTTACTAAAAAATAGTCACAGAAATGGAAAGTACAGCATAGGGAGGAATACTGCAACAACACTGTATGTGACAGATGGTAACTATACTCACTGTGGTGAGCACTGAGTAATGTACAGAATTGCTGAATCACTATGTTGCACACCTGAAACTAAGAGAACATTGTCAACTACACTCCAATATTTTTTAAAAGATGGGATTATAAATGAGTCTGTGTATTAAAAAAATGCAGAATTTGGGGCACTACTGAATCAGAATAAGCACTGTCCAGTGGAAATAATGGAATTTGCATATGTGACTAAATTTTGTTAGTCTCATTAAAAAGGTGGTAATAGGTAAAAATTTTTATATTTTATTCAAAATACCCAAAAATATTATTTCAACATGTCATCAATGTGAAAAAAAGTAAGATGGGGGGCCAGAGAGGGCCTGCAGAAGGGTCATACTTGTATTCTTGCCCTGAGCCACAAAAATACTGGGGAAGGCTTGCCCCTCTACCTACACCCTTATAATAAATCCTCCTTGAATTCACTCATTTGGGGTGTGCCCCCACTTTCCTATTGAGACCCTGTGCAGTGAAGAACCAGAGCACAGACCAGAACAGATTGAGGGGCCTTAAGCCAAGACCACTCGCCACAGAGAAGAAACAGGTAACGGGAGAGGTCCCAGCTGCATACTGGGGCAGCCTCATCACCGATCTCTTCTCAGGAGTCAATCAGGGCTGAAATGAAAGTGGCAGGTTACATGCCCTGCAGGAGAATCCTGCTCAGCGGCCTCCAGAAAGGGGGCTTGATGAGGAAGAACAGACTGAAGGCCAACGGCTCAGTCCGGGAACGGGGAAGGCTGCTGCGTCAGGCCTGGCAACACCCACACCCCCACCGGACTGCACTCAGTTGTGCAAATGGAACGTCTAACTCACCTCATACCAGGCGGGGACTGACACAAACACAGTCTCGCTCTCTACATTCTACTGATCGGCAACTTAGTTTGAATTTGGTTTTTGAAGAACTGCATCATACTCTTCATACTACTTAACTGACACCTGAAAATGCCAGTTTGGAAATCAACTGTTGGGGGGGGGGGCGGGGGGAGAAAGGAAGTAATTTAAAGAGCACGGGTGATAGGCAGTGATTAACTGGGAGGGAGCGTGCCCATCCCTCAAGCCTGTTTCTGCTGTGCACAGAAAAGCACCTCCCCTTTCACGCCTTAGACATTTCTCACGCCTACGCGTGGCACAGATCGTTCTCTACCGGGTGATGGACACAGAGGACTTCCAAGAGTAATTTCAGCTGTATGCCATTTCTCCCCTAAATGCCAACTTTAGAACCGAATTCCTGCTGTTTCATTGTTCCAAAGAGAATGTGAGACAAAGGGTCCTCTAACTAATTTGTCCTGAGGCCTTTTCTCTGCTAACTAAAGAGTGGATGGAAGGGCCCTTCTGGGGGTGGGGGGAGTTCATTTTGCTTTTTAAAGGAACATCACCTCTCACAAGACTTGTTGCAGCTTAAGAGACTATCACCCCTCTCTTCCTGACTCCTCAGCTACCAACATTAGTGGCTCCGCTCCTCTAAGCTAACACCAAGGTCCAATGAGCTGCCTAGAATAGGGGTGCTGCCTGACTGGTTTTGCTTAGGCATAAATACACTGGAGGTCACCCAAGGGAGCATGACCACAAAGATGTTTGTTCTTCCCATGAGGTTGTGCAAACACTCGCTATGGCCACAAACTTAGGAACAGCATGAACATCAATAGAAGGGACTGCACATTCCCCACCAGAGGTACTTTTACCGACTCACAAAGATTGCAACACCAGCTCATTTGAACCCAGGGGAAGAGCAGGGGTAGCAAGGACCAGCTTCCCCAAATGCTAGGTGAGGTGCACGGCAGAGAACGCACTTCAGCACAACGTTGGTACCTGACAAGGAGAGCTATGTAACCTCAGCTCTCATCAGTGAAGGCTACGGTATACACAGCAGGGAGTTTGGGGCAGACTGGCTTCATTCCGGTTTTGAGGCAGGCTGTCTCTTTTTGTGGGATGAAGGAGAGGAGGATAGCCAGTCTGCTGAGTGAAGAATGAAGGCAGTGAAAGCTGTGGAAGATGCCTGGGAATACCCATGTAAGAAAAAGGCTCCAAGGCCAGTCCATACAGGCGGGCAGGGACACCCTGACAAGTCCAAGTTAGGAGGGATATTCGGACAGAGCCCGGAAAGGGAGCCCCTAGATCATGAATAACTGTCAGCCCCCAGCCTTCTGCAGCCCCAAGGCCCAAAGCAGCCTGTGGTCAGAAGAGCCACCAGCAACAGAGCCCAGATCATACCAAATGCACAACTGACGGTTACCCAGCAAACTCAGAGAGCTGCTTTGGGAACATCCCTAACCAAGAATGGCCCCATGGAACCAGCTTTAATCCTCCTAGATCCCTTTAATCCTCCCACTTCAGGTTTCTCGTACTTGGGATGGAAAATTACAGCACAGCCCAGGGCCACCAGAACGTGCCAGCACCCTTCACAGTAACATGGTCACTAGCAGCATGTACTGTGTGTGAGGCACCGGGGGGATGGCATGACCAAGCTGCTCTCTCTGAAGCTACAGTAGTGGGGGAGCAAGACCGATCCATAAAATGGGAGAGCGGCAGGAGATGTAGATGGCAGCCAAATGAGGGTGGGACAGGGCAGGGTGGTCCCCAAGGAGGTACCCCGAGCACAGAGCTAGCAGTTTGCTCAGGCAGGGTATGCCGTCAGTCTTGAATGATCCTTTCACATGGCCATTTTAATGCCAGAGTCATTTTGATAAGGCCTGAAAACAAATTTTTTCTTTGCCCCTTTCCCATTTCCAATTCATCCCTGCCTTGGCTATCTGATGTCCTCCACTGAGCAGGGGACAAAGCCAGACTGCCCCAGAGATGGGGGCAGAGGGCTCTCTGACTCCCAGATTTCTCTGATTTTTTTCTAACGGTGGGAGAGGAAACGGGCACACCAAAGCCTCTGAACAAAAGCCGAAGGTGGAAGTCTTTATTTGGGTCCCCACGGCCGGGAGGCAGCTAGGGTCCACAATCCTACAGCAGCGCAGCAAAGCAGGGAGTGCTGCACTGATGCCAGAAATTTAACGCGGGCTGTTCTGGGCAGCTTGGCACTAGGGGGCTCTGACGCACAGCACCTTTCCCCTCAGGGGAAAGCTACACCCGTCTAAATCAGGAGCAGGGGCGGTTGGGGGGGGGGGGGCCTCTGAGGCCACCTGCTAAAATTCTCCATCATTCACACAGACAGCACTGGGAACAGGGCCCGGCCACAATGTTCAAAAGGGGTCGTCAGTGACTTCCAAGGCCCCCGAGGATCACATGCCAAAACAGGGTTGGGGCATTCTTACCTTGTCCTCTGCTCTCAGTCAGCCCGAGTCATGGCTTTGTGTCCCATGCAAAACCCAGATCCGGAATGGCTGGCTTGGGAAAACCAAGCAAGACATTCTGTGCGTCCACCTGGGCAAACGTAGAACCAACAGCTAGTAACGGCGACAGCTGGGTTTTCTGGGCACTTTCCACATGCCCAGCTGCATCTAAATCCTGTGTGTGCAGATCAGCTTTAATCCTAAATCCTGAGCCATGACGAAGCTATCAGGAAGGCGTGCGGAGACTGCCAGTCTAAAGCAAACCACAGGGGAGAAGGGCGAGCACTGGAAACTTCAGCCCAGGGCACTCGAACTGAAAAGCATTTCCAACATACCTCCGCTGCGGCGAGTCATGAGGAAGGGCACAGATACCACGAAGGAAAGGTAAGCTCTTCTCAGCCTCTCCCCGACCCGTGTCACAGGCTCCAGCCTAGTGCGGTCAGAGGTATCCTTATCATTGCTTGACAGGAACAGACTTGTTTGGCATTGAGAGACACTTTTCAGTTTTAGTACCCTGCCTTTTCAGGGAGGAAGGAGCAGCTTGCCTCCGGCTAAGGGGCAGGAGAGCCCAAGGCAGATTCCAGTGTGGAAGCTGCTCCATGGCCACCAGCACCTCGGCCACGGGTGACCCTGGCTCCACCTGGCTCCTGTCCTGTCCCACTCTGCCTGGCTGACCTAGCCGAAGCCTCCTCAACCTCTACCTCTCCTCTCCTTCAGGGCCATCATGGCCTGCACTCATCACCTCCCTGCAACATTCATCATGCTCCTCCACAGCGTGAAGCGGACACGCTTTGGTGGGTACCTGACTTCAAACCAACCTAGCAGCTTTTTGGGGCTCAACACCTTCCAGCCCCACCCAGCACTACAGGACCACAGACCTGAGTATTTCCTCACTGACTTAACGATTACTAGACAAGCTGTGACACAGGCCTCCAACAGGGGATGTAGCAGTTACGACAAATAAAAAAAATAAGCATAAAGTGTTGCAAAAATGTAAGCTCATAATGTTAACTGAAGATGGTCTCTTTTCCATGGCAGAAAAACAATTTTCTCTCTCCCATCCCCTAACGACTCAAAAAATTTTTTAAATTCTTATTTCAATTCACAACATAATCCTCCATTATTAATTACCTCGAAAAAGGAAGATAAAATGTCAGCAACGCAGGTCCCATTTAAGATGCATGTTTTTATTGAAGTTAAAAAAAAAAATTTGTAACCAGACAGAAAGAGTAAAGTAGACAAGAATGTTATAATCTGACTATATAATATCTTCTCATTCTTGGAGGATCACTAAAATATAACAAAGGATTGTTCTCTATGCTAATTATAAGGTTGTCCAGTTAAACCATTATTTGGTATCTTCAACAGGTTAACCTCTTAACTATTTAGAGTTTCTTCTCAGAAACATTCATATATTATACAGGAAACATTCATAGTTTATTTGGGAAACATTCATATTTTATACAGGATGTACAAATTTAAGACAAGACAATTAAAAAAAAAAAAACCACACAATTGTAGCCGCAACACTATCCTAGCTGCATTGTGGGGATTATGTTCAGTCTGTTGTCCACTATATACAACTGGATTTAATAGTGTTATTTACAGAGGGGCCAAAAGCACTCATCTAAGGTAAAGGCGCTCGGGTTTAATGTGCACTTTCATAGCCCTATGAAAACACAACCATTATATACACTGTAAACACCACAGGGCATGAAATCCATCTCCAACCACAAACTTCAATCGCACAGATCAAGCATACAAGGGCTAAGGTAAGGTGCCTGACTTTTCCTTTGTAAGCATACTTTTCATCCAAAGAGTGCTGCTCTTCTTTCCATAGGACACTATTCACTTATTTCAAATATGGTGCCAGTGCTTAAAACATTTCTGGAACCCCTTTTTGGGGATTGCCTGCATAGTCTGCAATGAACTCTTCTGAACGTCCTTGATGGTGGCAAGTCTTTGTCCTTTGAGAATGGATTTGATTTGGGAGAACAGGCATATTCACAGCCAAGTGAATCAAACTGTGAGATACCACCCCGGACCAAATGGCGCCACTCTAAAACAATGAGACCAATTTCCTTGTATAGCTCATAAAGCAAGAGTTAAAAAAAAAAAAAAAAAAAAAAAAAAGCCTGAGCAATGGCAGTCCTGATGGAATAAGTACAGATTCTCCTAGAGTGCAGGCTCTGAGAGGCAACATTCACTTGAATGGTAGAGCTAGGTGGTGGTTTGCAATTTTAAAAATCAGTCCTTTTGTCGCCTCTCACACAGACTTTAGTATTCCTCTTCAGTTTCAGCCCCCTTTGCTTTCTTATGGATTGCCCGATTAAAGGTGTGGCAAGCAGGGACCCAGTGATTGTCATGAAGCCCCAGCTTACAGCCGGGGAAGCCCTTCTGAGACCGGTGGCAGCACATCCAGTATCCTGGCCCATAGGGCAATGCCTGGCAATAGGGCTTAGGGTGCCACCGGCACAGGGACACATCCCCTTTCACGTATTTCTTCTTGCACTGCTTACAAGGGTCCTCTCTGTATCGTGGATCTCGCACCCAGCGGGAATCTGCCGGTCTGATGTTGTAGTATTCAATGATAAACTTGAAATAGCAGCAGGTACATTTGAGAGCCACTAAGCTCTTGGTGGGAAGTAACCTGAAGATTTTCACCATGAGGTGGTGGGGCAGAAACGCCATGTACTGCTGAGGCTCCAAAAGCTGCTGGATTTTAAACCTGGTCTCCAGAAAGTCATGAGACACTTGCTTCTTCCAACCGGTTGTCTCCAGCACCGGTAATGTACTTTCCACCGGAGATGCTGGCAGGACAAAGGCATCTGCGGGAACCCTTTCTTCCTCCGATGCACTGTCACCCTCCGCAGCATCGTGAAACTGGCTGGCCTCAGAAGTCCCCCTTGTGCTTTCACTCAACTGGGAACAGTCTGACTGGTGCTGACCAGGTGGCAAAAAAAACAACATCCCCGGAAGTGGATCTTCGCAGGGCTCTGAACTAGAAGGCTGGCCTTGCTCTACCTTGGACACAGTGATACTAATGCACAAAGATCCCCTTCTTCTCTGATCAGGACTCTGGCTAGTAAGCGGTGCGAGCTCTCTACTCATACAATCAACAGCATCGGTGGGCAATTCAATGGCTTGAGAGCAGGTGTGAGGAGGAAAAGGTGACCCGGCAAGTTCCTCTGTCATTTCCACATCATATCTATCGCCATTTTTCATAGCAGTGTGCTGATCCGGCTCAAATTTTGCACTGTCCGTGAGGAAATTCACACTTGCTGGCAATGGCGGACAGCCCCGAGGAGCACTGTCCCAGGCCTCATTTCCCTTAGGAGAACAACGGTCAGCTCTTGAGGGGCCACGGTCCACAGATACAGACCCCACAGGATTCACCTGAGTGTCTGGTGCCTCCAAGGTGCCTTTGTTTGTTTTGCCTTCATTAGCCTGAGTGCCATTTGCAAGCAACACCCGGCCCACATTCCGACGGAAGCTGTTATTCCTCGAGAGGCTCCCAGGCTCACGCTGGCTCTGCCGCTTCAGGCACTCAGACTCCAGCCTGGCTACCATGTCAAGGACACGGACTGGCTCACTCTGTGGTTCCCCAACCTCAGGATTTCCTCTTTCCGTGGATTCTTCACAAGCTCCAGGAGCAGAAAAGGGCTCGGAGGCTGAGAGCACACCTCTGGACTGCCCAGGAACCCTTACCACAGCAGGTGAGTTAGTGCAGTTTTTCGTGCAAGTAGCTAGCAGGGCACTGGCTCTCTGCTCAAGGAAGGCGACCATCTGTATGACCGACAGAGGCCTCCCGGCATAGATGCCATCACCACTGTCACTCACATAATGCACAGAACAGTGCTCGATGCCACACGCAAAGGGCTCAGGCTGGTAGCACCTGCTGTTGACTTCCCTCATCCTTTCTAACTGTATTTTGGCTTTTTTAAGATCCCCTGATTTTTTCCTTCTTTTAGTAGCTCTCCCATCAATATCCCAGGAACTTTTTATTTTCATAGATCCTATCCTATTGCTACACTGGTGGGCTGCAAAGAATGCAATTTTCTCCTTGGTATTTCCCGGTTTCACAACAGCCCAGATATCAAGCGGCCCTTCCCCTTCTTCACCCTGGTGGATTGTTGCAGATGGTGCATTCTTCTTGGTTTTAACATTCAAGCTGCTCTCTACAGGACTCTTCCCACTCATGCTGCACAGAACATTTGGAGAAAGAATCCCAAAAGGCTTTCGAGATGATGCTTTACCAAGAGAGGGTGAAGGAAAGACACTTGGTTTCACGTAGCTAGCTTTGCATTTTTCATCATCTATAGCTTCTTGGTGGCTCATAGAAGTTCTCAGAGTTTCCTTGCTGATTTCCAGAGGTCGCACTTTCTTCTGGAGTTTCCAATATGGCTTTAGGTGCATAACAGAGGCTCTACAGGAAAGAAATACATACTTGATTAAAATAGTACTTTTGTTTTTAGAAAAGTTAACATATAATCTTCTGACCATTCTAGCAAGTAATAGAAACATTTTGTCAGTTCATTAAATCTTTACCATACCAACTCTCATTTCAGCTAGTTTTTAATGTACGGATCAAGAATCACAAGAGCAAAACCACCACTTTCTGTGGTGTATAGGCCAGAAAATAAATTGGTAAATTTGAAGCTGAAGAGAGTGAATTTCAGAAACTGACATTAGTTAACATTCTACACATAAAATCAGTCCTTCAAATGTTAAAAAGAAATAACTAACTTACTGAAAACCTCCAAATACAAGGCGAGCTGGCCAGAATCCCTAGCAGACCGACCCTATTTCTAAGCCGTCATGGCTGGCGTTTTCTTGGCTGCTACTAGTCTATCAAAACGTCGCACCGCCTCCTATGCTGCTCTCTTACTGCTCAGTTTCAGATGCTTCTACTTTTTCACCTGTTTGCTTATGTACTGTGCCCATCTACTAGTCTTGATTTATTTTTTTATTATTATTTTTTTTATTTTAAAGATTTTATTTATTTATTCATGAGAGACAGAGAGAGAGAGAGAGAGGCAAAGGGAGAAGCAGGCTCCCAAGGAGCAGGGATCCTGACGCGGGACTCGATCCCAGGACTCCAGGATCATGACCTGAGCCGAAGGCAGACGCTTAACCATCTGAGCCACCCAGGCGCCCAGTCCTGATTTTTTTTTTTTAAAGATCTTTTATCTTTGAGAGAGCAAGAGAGCACGCACACATGCGTAGGCAGGGGGAAGGGCGGCGGGGAGAATTTCAAGCAGACTCACGCTGAGTGGGGAGCTCGATACAGGATTCAATCTCATGACCATGAGATCATGACCTGAGCTGGAATCCAGAGTTGAACGTTTTAACCAGCTGAGCCACCCAGCCAGGCACCTCTAGTCTTGATTTTCTAAATCATCTATTTGTATAAGCTCTTAACTGTCAAATTTCCTCCAAATACCTTAAATCAAATATAGAACCGTTCCATAATCCTTATTAAGTCTAAAAACCATTTGGCACTATTTCAAAAAAACAATGCCCTGTTTTGTTCCCTGAGCAAGGCTGGAGGAGATGAGAGCCATCTTGGAAATTAGAAAGATGATTACATGCGATTACACACATTTACATGTGTGTTTTAGTCCTTGCTGTATCATTAATTAGCTAGATTTGGTGAGTTTAACTCAGACAAGTCACTTCCTCTCTGGGTCTGACTTGAAATGTTGACTGAGGGGTTGGAATACTAAATTATCTAATCTCATCAATTTTTACAATAAAATATCCATTGTTACCAGAGCACTGTGCATTGAGAAAAGTGTTCTGTAGGGATGCCTGGTCTCCTACAAAATAAACCTACAGACAAAAATAAACATCTGCAATCAGAGGTTGGTGGCAAGAGCCCCCACAAATCTAGCAAGTAATAGAAACATTTCCCTACTCTCACTCATGGGGACACCAGTCTAGGACATACATATTTGGCAACTCAGCATATTCCTTTATCATTCACCTTATAACAGTTAGTGATGGCCTGCAACATGTCAGGCTCTATGATAATTGCTTTCAAATATTAATTTTAATTGTCAAGGATGAAAGTGATCATCCAGGACAAGTTTGTTCACCTTTCAACTCTTACTTCCTTGAGTCTGGGCTCAGCTAAAAGAAGAAACAGGAATATGAATATTTTCTAGCTAGGTGAAGAGAAATCTTGCATTTAAGACAAAGTACCTTTTCAAAGATATCTCAAATAGGTCAGATTGGTTTGTTGATGATCTTTGGTAATTTCTATCCTAAATCTGTGATGTTTCCCACTCTCCTACACTATAGCATTTTTGATAGTTTTCTATCATTTATATAGTCTTACAAAAAGACCCACCGAGATTTCTTCAAGAACAAGATGAATATATATGAATAAAAAGAGACACATCTAGTGCTGTGTCAACAATTTTCTGGTTTTTCATATTCCCTTCAACCATTCTCTAAGTGAAATCAAAGAAATGGAGGTTGTTGAAAAATTCAATAAGTTCTCACATAATGATCTCATTACCGAGTGTCTATGAATAAATTTAAACTTCAGCAATGTGTGTGCCATTCTGCATTGCACAATATGTTCTCTTTGCCTTCTTCCCCCACACATTATTTTAGGTGCTATTATTGATAGGCAGGGACATTAAGAAGAAACTAATGTAATTATGGAAGGCTTTTGTTTGCATTTATTAACCTGTGAAGTCAGCTCAACTGACACATTGATAGTGGACAGGGTTTTAGCAGGATTAAAATAAGAGATGATCTTAGGGAACAGAAGTGAGGGAAGGTACAACTGGGAAGGAGAAAAAGCCATTTGATGCAAACAGGGTGACTGCAGGAGGGTAGGGGACGAGTCTGTGGGACCCCTGAAGGAAGCACAACGATTAGGCATGGGCTCTTGTCTCCTACTTAATTAAAGGTTGGCGAGGATATCAACCTCCCTCTTTCCTTTGCTGGGGCTTGAAGGTCGTGAGGCAGAAAACAGAAAAGTGTTGGCAAGACTTAGAGTGAAGTGAGAAACTGGCAATCAGTTTGGGTTGAAATCAGTGGTAGACCACGAGGATATGATGCAGGGCACCAGGGGCATCAGCCACAAAACCTGTAAGATAGCAACTTTACATCTCTAACAGATTACACCAGATGGTGGGGCTTTGCCCACCCTCACCACACCCCCATAAACACAGGCACTGTGGAAAGCTCCAGCCAGGTTTCCATGGTTGCCAATCTCTTCATCACAACTGTACTTTAAAGTGCACCATAATAAAGTCCTGCTTTCTTGCAATTAAATAAAATGAAGGGCTCTGGCACCTACCTACACATGAATGTTCCTTAGACAATCAGAAATATCCTTGTAAAAAATTAAGATCCCTGGGCCCAGTGAATCAGAATTTCTGGGATTGGATCCAGATTTTCTGCTGTTTTTAACCTTTAGATTTAACTTGGACAGGATTTAAGGTCATGTGTTAGATCTGCTGTAAGAATGCCAATGGGATTCTGGGTTTGGGCTGAGGGGTGAGGTGGAGCTGCCCAACAGAAAACCCTGCAGGTGGTCCAGACCCAAGCAACTATTCTAACAGCTGGTTAAAGACAGACCCATTTTCTTACTTGTTTTTTTCTCTTTAAAGCACAAAAAAAGTCAATGGCCTCTTTATGGCCAAATTTCCTCTTTAACTTCAACTCCTCAGTTTGACACTGCTTTTTCCCCAGCTATCTTCTCTTCTTCCCCAGCCTTAAGCGTCCATGTTCCTCAGAATTCCTTCTTTTTCTAGACCATTATTACTCAGGCTACATACGTAAGTGCTGTCTTGTAGTTCTAACAAGCATATACTGATGACTCTCCAGTGGTGTGCTCTCCCAAACTTCATATCCTATTGGAGACATGGCTGGATGTCAGAATCTCAAGAATCAACACAACTAGTTAATAAAAGCATCAAGTAGACCGAGCCAATCAAGCCAGAAAGCTGGTTCACTTAAAGATTCCTCCTCCCTGACCCATATCCAATCACTAGGTCACTAAAGTGCTCCCTCTTCTTCATTTCTGGCTCCAATGCCCTAGTTTAAGCAGCCATCTTATCTCTGCTACATGATCGTTACCCATAAGAAAGCCTAACCTCTTTATCAATGGCATGCAAAGTGGAGCCCACCCAGCCAACCTATCAGCTTCAGTCCTGCTTTGCCCTACTCTACTTCACATTTTGGGAGCTTATGCACAGAACCACTACCTATAGGACCCAGTAGTAGATGAAGGCCAATCATAGCACTTAAGATGCAAATTTTAAAGCAACCAGAACCATAAAACTAACATAACAGCTTCAACACTGTTTTCAAAATAACCACCACCCCATTTCCTACTATCCATTTATTGTCAGAAATTTACTGAACACTCTGGGCTGGATATTACTGGTGCAATTATGAGTAAGACATAGTCGCTGCCCTGAAGGAGACAGAGAAGTCAATAAGCGATTCCAATAGAATGTGATGTGTGTTTATAAAGAGAATATGGGTGCTGGGAAAGCCCATGCAAGGAGGTGGGGAGGACAACACACGGAAGGAAGGGGTGTAGGAAGGGACGAGAGGAACCACCAGCACCAAGCTTAGTCTTGAGGGTACAGACATAGGTCAGAGAATCCCTGATTTTCTAAGCTAAGCCCTAAAGCAAGATACACAAAGTCCTAAGAGGTTCAAAAGTAAATGATGCTTTTAGGAAACTGAGGTAAGTGAGAAACAGTCTGGCTAAGGTGCTGTGAGCAGAGACAGTAAGTGAATGTATTAATAAGCCACAACAGACAGGAACTTTAGCTGCTGATTTTAAGTGGAGGTTGAGGGAGAGGTGTCAAGGATGGGTCCTCAGCTTATGGCTTCAGCAACTGGATGAAGAGTGGTACCTTTTAGTGAGATAGTGGAAAAGGTGGCTAAACAGATTTGGAGCAGGGGAAGAGAGGTTAAGTTCGGTTTTAAAAAGTGTTGCCTGACAGATATCTAGTAGGCAGACTGACACAGGTCTGGCCAAGAAAAACTGAAGGAGATCCCTGGTGACCCCACTATAAGAACTACAGTGGGTGAGCAGGGCAGAGCCAGAAGTTCATGGTGAAGGAGCGACTGGAAGGTGATAAAGTGAACCTTAGCAACTCATTCACAAAGCATGGCTGTGAAAGAGAAAGTCTTCGTATGTACCTGTCACCTTAATCCTTTCCAGGAATAAGGTGAGATATAACAATGAATCAATTAAAACTTGAACAACTTTCCTCCACTGAAGGCCAAATAAGCCTTTTAGACTCTAACTTCTGTTTTCAGCTTTAAAAAGCTGGGAAGAACTCTCACTTTTAAACAAAGTATACAATCCCAAAATGGAGCCATAGAAGAGAATTTAACTTTGCTTAGAAAAAAAAGTGCCTGGATAAATCCCAAAGTTGAAAGAGTCAT